TAATATCCAATCTGTGTTAGAACCAGGTGGATGCTCTAATGTACAACTATGGGGCACCAAGAGGGAACAAGTCCAGTAACTTACTAGCGTTCAGAACTAAGCTGAACCCTAATTATTGAATTAGGGTCTGAGGTAAATTTTGCCTCCCCGCCCCCCGTCCAATTATTATGATAGCTTCAGGATAAACACACACTTGTAGCAATGCCACTGTAGCTAGCTTTAAGACTTTGATTCCAAAAGTACAATAATGCTGTGCAGCAGTTTCACAAATGTCCAGATGATCAAAAGCCATCCTAGCATATTTGCAGGTTTTGGGTTTTAAAAGGAACTTGAATTTAGCAGTTTCATTAAATGCAACTGCCTGTGAATGCCACATAGCTTTCCAAGCAGTCCTGACATCTCTACCGCAGAAAACAACCAAAACCACCAAACCAAACCCTTCTCCTTTTCACCTCTGAAGTAGGCCTCTGATCTTGTCACCTACTCCAACCACCATAACTTCTTTCCCTGCATTTGAGAGGTTGGTAATCTCGTTCTTCAAGGTCTTCGCAATAGATGTATGGATAGCACCACACAGACCTCGGTCAGAGGACACACCAATAAGAAGGTGCTTCTTCTTGTCCTCTGGTGCCTTTATTTCTGCCTTCTCATAGAGAGCTAAAAAAAAAAAAAAAGATGGCTATGTTATTCAAGAGCACGAGGAAGCAAACGGGTCATATCAGAATATCTTTGAATTGTTCTAACTAAAACAATTTCTAAAGGGGTTCCAAATCACAGCCAGAATTTTATCTCCCTCACAACCATTCAAGTTTGCATGGGATCTGACCAGAGATGACAGCCACATCTCACACTGGGTATCACACAACCAGTGTCATTACTCAGTTAAGTTCACTGTGCAAGTCTAGTCCCTCAGGCGCACACACAGCCCAAGAATTCGCAAAAAGATCTGTCAGTAGCCATAGATGCTACAGAGAGAGGACACAATTCCATTACCAGGTAGGAGCAGGCCAAAAATTCTGAGTTATGATGCTTTTATGACTAACAAAAACAACCACATAGAGTAATCAGAAATCATAATGAATTTCACATTAGAACTCTTAAAAATCACTTTCCATAAACTACTTATAAGGAATACGCAAGGTGGCCTAGAGATGCCGATTATTTTGGAAAAAAAAGGACCAAAAGGTTAAAAAAGTCTAGGTGTTTTATCACCACACTGAAAGCCTTCCTCTTCTGTTCCTGCATCACACAGCGCAAGAGTCTCTTCTCACCCAGTGCTCCTGTTCCATAGACTCTAGCAGGCTTCAGCTCCCTCTCAGCTCTTGCGTATTTTGCTGCAGAAACCATCTTCATGGACTTTGTAATTTTCTGAATGTTCTTGATGGACTTCAAGCGCCTGGTAACTATAAGGTTAACAGTTGAAGGTCATGGGCTGTACTGGGCATAATGACATCAAAATCAAGCAGTAAAATGCTAGCAACAGCCATCCAAAAATTTCTTGCCAAGTTCCTCAAAGAAGAAAAAAATAAACAAACAAACACTGCACAAATGAACCCCATAAAAGACTTCAGTATTTACAGTAAGAAAGTAGTAAGAGTAGTAATCTGGCTAACCCAAACGCATCTTTACAATAGATCTGTTTTTTCCTCCAGACATAACATTCATTTAATAATTAGCCCAGCAGAAAATCTATTTACTATTGTCTTTCCTTCCACTTCTACCTGTTTCACAAATACATCATTTGAGGTATATTGTCATCTTTTCCCAGATGACAAGGAGAAGAAACAAACAAGCAGAATACCCCACAGTATGAAGACACAAGAATAAACTTCCTCCTCTGCTTAGACTGTGGCAAAACAAGATTCTTAAAAATACTGACATGAAGAGAAAACAAAACAGGCATACTACTGACAAGCAAAATTCCAAGGCAATATCCCTGTACGGGAACGTATGAGGAATGACTTAAAGAAACATTATCACAGTGGAAGCATCCAGTCAAACTTTTTTCCCCCAAATGCTGGATAAAATCACAAGGAAATTAATGTAAACCAAAATAAATTAATTCTTAAAGGTGAGCAAAAATATGGTTTAGCACATATGATACAGTTATTATTTTAAAAAATATGTTTGAATAAAACTAAATTGGTTTGCTGAAATGACACCTAAATTAGTGCTAAAACCATTTTAAGCAATGCCTTTTTTGAAGGACACTTGCTTAATGTAAGAAGTGCTGGAGGCTCATGCAGCAGTATTATGGTGTGCTGGATAAACAATGAGTTTATCCAATAGAGGCTAACCAAAATTATATTTTAACACTTAGTTTTCCTGCAACACTTCCCCTCTCTCAAAAGCAAACAAAACCCGTACTTACTGTCTTTCAGAGTTGCCATATTCCTGACTTGGCCCCTGAAAATGAATGCAAGAGAAATTAGGATAGTCCACTAGTTCTCCTCCAGCAAACCAACATCTATGAAGGGCAGGCCCCTTTCAGAAGGATGAACATTTTAAAATTGCTGTTTCTTAAAAAGTATCTGTAGTAGGGACAAGCCACTCTAAACCATGCCTTGTATCCAGACCTTCCTCCCTTCTCCATATCTCCTGTGACACCATATATCATTTAATATATTACCTGCTGCCTTAGATAATAGCACAATGTCAACGAAGTTCAGACAAAATGGCATCAGAAGGCTACAACTTTCAAAAAATATAACGGTTTTTTAAAACGATTAAAACGAAGCAAAGGAGGCTCCACCATTTTCGGACAAGAGCAGAGTCTTCTTGCACCGCCTGTCATCTACGAAGCTGTCCTTTTTATTCCTCCTGCCTCACCTATTCACCTCCCGCTCAGCTGAGCGCCCTTTCTCTACAAGCTCCTCTCTCCCCTCACCCCCCACCCGCAGAGCCGCGGCTCAGAGGACAGAGCCTCCGTCCCTGGCAGGTCACCGCCGTGCCCCCGGGAGGCCGCTTCTCCTCAGCTTCGCGGTCAACGCTCCTCCAG